TGTTATTGTTATAGTAAACATATATATTGTGTGTGTGTGTGTGTGTGTGTGTGTGTGTGTGTGTGTGTGTGTGTGTGTGTGTGTGTGTGTAAGCTCTTGTACATTATAACCTGATTATAAGTGGCTTATAAGTGCATTTGGGGAGTTACTGAAGTGTACATTTGTTATCTTAACCATGGTGTTTGTCCGAGCATTTGTCTGTCTCCCAGTTAAAAAGCTGTGCATGCTGTCAAGGTTCAACATTCACTTTAGAAATGAGTGGATAACAGGCATGAATAATGTTGATGCCAAATCTTATTTTGCAAGCAGGATATTCTACACTAAATTGTTAGGAATTAGTCACACTATCATTGACATTTTAAAATGCGACATAGTTTAAAGAATACAAATGTAGATTTACCATACGTTATTGTTGAGCAGTTCTTAGCATGACTGAAATGCTCAACAAACAATTACTTTTCGTGGTGGGTGGTATAAGTAACTCGGAGCCAAAGCTCCGAGTGAAACCAAGAGTAAGCAATGTATGATTCCATTACAGCAGTCCTTTCACATTTTAATTTTTAAAATAAGGTAGACAATCATAATGAGTACAACATCAATCATGAAGTTCCCTGTTTTGTAAATTAAGTTTTTTGTTTAATTTCATAATGATGGATAAAATGAATAATGTGAAACGATTTTTGTATAACTTTTAGGTTATTACACAAAGAAAATAAGAATAAATAGACTATAGAATGAAGGTCTGTTAATTAACACAGTACACTCCACTTGGTGGGCCTGGCATAGTCTGGTGATTAGGGGGCTTGACTTGCAATCTGAGGGTAGCTGGTTCAAATCACCAAACATGCCCTTCCTTTGTGGTTTCCAATTGGTCCAGCCATCCAAGTGTACAAATTCTTGCCTTACAACTCAGGCAGCCAACCCTAATATAGCTGGGATTAAGGCCAATTAAATGGTCAATTAAAACTCCATTTGTAATATCAATTGATTAATGAACCCGATGATTAAATTGATTATCAAATTCCACTATTCCCCTAGCTTTAAGTGTCTATAATATCTATAGAAATGCAAAATATCAAAACAAATGTCAATGATCCATGCCATAAAGAAAGTTACAAAGTAATTAACTTACCAGCACTAGCTGCAGACAAGATGTGAACCTTTGGTGTATCTGGAGCAAGATGTGTGTTACAAAAACTCTTGGTTTGAGAATATGCACAAAAGTAAACAGCTCTAGAAGACAAAAATGACAAACTGTAATAACCACACTATACCAAACAGAAAAAAAAAGTGCAAAATATATTTATAATGTTTCTAAGACAATGTGAATATAATCACAAAGTTCCAATATTCATATAGCAACCATAAGCCACACCCTTTTATCAGACATCTATAAACTCTTGCATCCCTTACCAGCAAACTTTAATGAAAAATGTCTTACAACTTAATACCACAGATATACAAAGTATATTTGCCATGTGGTTTAAAGCTAATCTTTCGACAACAAGAATTGTGTAATAAAAGTACAAATGGTATTAAAATAAGGTCATGAAACCATACTTACTAATCAGGTCTGAATTACCTTTTGGTGTTTAATCAACTTTAAAAAATCTGGCCTAACAGGGCTTGAGCCCAGGACACTTGGCTCATACTAGGCTAATGCTCTACCAAGTGAGCTACCAGGACTTGAGTCCCAAGTGAACAACTCTCCATCCTGGCTGTTACAACATAAAAAAAACTATTAGTTCGAAGTGTAAACAGTTAGGCAGCAGATACATTATTTCACCTTTTTGTGAGGAATGAAGATTGTATTTTACGTAAATGTAATTTAGGTATCTCTACTGAAACCAAATATTCAACCCCCCTCCCTTCTCCATTCATGCACACAGATTTCCCTGGCCAAAGTAACCTCTTGTTATGTGCACTATTCCATAAGTAATAAGCATCTTGTCTTTTTAAATGCAGTTTTTCTTTTTTATAATAAATACTTTATGTTCATACCAAATTTTCAAAAAAAAAGCATATATTCAAATTGTCAAATACAGTAACTGCTATAATGTGTATAGACTTTAATGGTCAAAATAATTTTTTGTATCATTAGTTTTGGACCTCTGTATTTTTTATTTTATTTAAATAACATTGTAAAATGTGGGTAACATGAAGTAACAGACTGATCTGCAAGTTATATTCTATTTATTCTTTACGTTAATTTCACTGACTACACTGGCTAGAATGTTAAATATTTCACCATTTTTTATTATAAAAATTACTTTGCACTGATAACTTAAGTTTATGGATTTAGCTTGAACTAACCTAAATCTCCTAAGATGGGTTGAATCTCATGAAATATTACTTGGATTAAGGTAGAAAATAATTGCTAACTATCAGGGTACCCAACTAATGGAACAATAACTTCTAATCATTATACATAAGAATTTAAGAACAGTATATAGAGCAGCTGTATTTATAACTGGGTTAGTTTTAGTTATAGTCTATGTAGGTATCTTGCTTTGATCAGAAGTTAACATTTGTCATAGAAAACAACATAGACATGATGATGAAAGTGACAAATCACTTACAGCTCAACTTGTTGTTGAAATAAGTTAGAAACTTAAGGTTTGGTAAAGTCACAATATAACATGTAGAGAGGATATAAGTGAAGCACATGAAGTGTTACAAGAGGCGAGATCATACTTGTTAACAACATTGCTGCTTTAAAGCACATTATGGTCATAAAATGTTACTTTACATAGAACAGAAAAAATGGGTCACTATGGTACAAATCCTTTACTCTGTAAAAGTAAAGTTAGTATTAGAAAGAAATCAAATGATGTCAGTTGCTTTATTTTCTGAAAAGTTTACAAGTGCCAAGAAGAGAAGACAAATAAGCCTTGCAAAGTTCTGGTAAAAAAAAATTGGCTTTAAAAAAGTGTGTATAGATTACTTGTACATAATTATAATCCCTTATATATACACTGCAGCTAATACTTGACAAGTTTTAATTAAAATCACAATATTCACTAACATGCATACAAACAGATATCAGAATTTTAATTTTAAGAAAATTAGGATTAACATACCTAGAAGGAGCCACTCCAAAAAGATTTGGACCCAAGCCTCTGAAAAGTGCCTGGGCACCTTCATTCTCAACAATGTGTCTGTGAAAAAAAGGTAATCATCAATCACTACACACATTAATAAATATTTTAAACATATAATACTCTGTATGTACTACTACACTCAATATTTAATTTAGGCTTTTCTCGACAAAAGTAAATTCTAATGGTACCTACAAGTAGTATAATATACACTAAAATATTCTTAAGCACAATATATTACTTGTAACAACTTTAAATTGAATCTCTCCATACTAGATTATTGTAAAGTAAGTCCTTTAGCACAAACAATAGTTTTAAATATAAAAAATTATCAAACAGATGTACTTTTTTTTGTAACTCTGGTCAATAAATACAGGTTTAAAATAATCATTCTAATACATGCCGAAACCCTAGTAATAAAATTTACATTAACAGAGACTCTACATTGTATAATCAAACAGGTACAGATACAGTACAATTTTAATTTACAGATTGCACCTCTTAAAATTGGAGTATTCTTCTGTACATTCAAAGCATAAATAAAAAGCTTGGTGATATTTTAAAACGTACAGATAACCTAATTTATCTTGAAACTTGTCTGTCCTTCAAACACTTATTAGTACACACTATGCATAACAGGTTAACTGGAAACAGTCTAGTAACATTTTTAAGTCTAATTTCAGAGAATATGATGTACATCATTAAACTGGATGTAATTAAAATACTGCTGTTAAAGTTGGTTAGGTAATAAAATCCCAAAGAGCTAATCACCTTATTAAATTAGGAGGCTTTTGCAGTGCAATACACAAACCAAAATTTGTTTTAAAAAAGTTAAATACATCACTATTGTGACTTTCCCCTTGCTAGGATTTGGGATAACAGTCTAGGAAAATTATAGACACTTTTAAAAGTACAAAGACATGCAATAAAACACACAATATAATAGGCGTTACATTTATATTAGGCACTGGTATGATGAAAATCCATGAAACTGAGCCATTGTCAAGAAGCAATTTAAATCTCTGCACATATAACAGATAATTTGTACAATATATAAAGCTAGGATGAACCAATAGTTCTAATGGATACTAATGGACTTTGCTAATAAAAGTTTAACACAACAGTCCTTTCAGAGACTACTTTAATGCAAAGCAAGTATCCATTTTAACTCACTACGTACTTTCAAAATAACACTTAATTTACACGTACACAACGAATTACAGTCCCTCAAGACCAAAACATGCCAATATTGTAAAAAGGAAAATAACATTACAATATAAAGAACCTGACCTAGCATCTTTCTCTGCTATATCATCTGTGAATAACTATGTAAAAAAAAATACTACTACAATAGGATCACCTTAGTCTACCCATCATGAGTAAGTACCAGAAAAAACTTAACAAAAATAAAGAATTTATCTACCAAATGATAAAATGAGTTATAAAAGAAAAGGTTTGTTTTTAAATTCAGCTTCATTATGATGAAATATTTTATAGTAACACTGAATGGGATTGGTGTAGATAGATGACCTGAAAATAAAAACACAACAAATGTAGTAAAGTCCAATACTGTTACTATGGGGTAGGCTTTCTGAAGCAGTTAAATTAATAACACATGAATCTGAGAGGTGAAACAGGTATAAGGATAATAACTTCAACAAATCAAAACACTAACTATTGGAAATGCAAGTTATACAGATGATAAAGAGAAATACAAAGTTCAATTACTCATAACTCAAAAGAGCAAAAAAAAAAGGGGGGGGGGGCTCTATCAATAAAATAGTTATTTGACTCAATTTTCCTTTAGTACAGAGATTTTTGTTTATAAAGAACCAATACTGCTGAAGGTCATATATTTTATCTTAAACTATACATGTAAAGTGACAAACACAGACAACTATAGTCTACTGGTAATAAAAACTTACCGGAGACATTGCCAAATGCCAGATGGTTGTTGTCTAGTAGCTGAAGAACCATAGCTGAGAACCCGTGAGAAAAAACTTTTTGTTGACACAGACGACGAGTTTGATGAAGTGGTAAAAGTATAGAGGTGATAACCGTGATTAAAACCATTTATCTTATGAGAGGCATTGCATGGAGTTAATGGTGCATACAAACAATTGAAGTTTACAACGGAAGACTGGAGTCGTGTTTTTACAACTTCTAATGGGCACGTTACAATAGCACCTGTTGTTCCACCAATCCTGCAGAATATTACAAAAACTAAATCTAATAACTTTTAAATGAAAAATAGTTATGAAAAATATTAGAAAACTAAACTGCTGCTAAGAGTTAAAATACTGAAGTTTAAGTCAAATGTTTCACTGGAAATAAACAAAGAGCTGTGTTTAGGACAAAAGATCTTGCGTGCACCAAATATTTTCTTGTCAATTCTGTGTTTCAATCTTGTTAAAAAACTGCTACAAACTGTACAGAATATGTTTAAAGAACTGAACTTGTAGGAATGAATATAAAACTACACATAAATTACTATTACAATAACGGTTATAACGCGGGTTTAGAGGGGGGGGGGAGGATCATACAAGACCTTCCGCGGTATAACGGCCGTATTACCCATTACAGTGTATACATACAAGTTTTTAAAGTTTCTTTAATTGCTACAAACAACAAATTACGAAAATATGTATTGATATCAATACAAAGTCAGTACATGGAATTTATTCAGTTGAATAATTTCTTTAAAAAGTCCTGACGTTTTGACCAACTTGTCTGAGGACGAACGTGTACTTCCTTATGCTATCCATCAAAGATATCGAACTCCCTTTTAATTTGCGCGTTTTAAACCCCACTTTTAACTCCTTCAATAATTGTTAGTGTTTCCTTAATAGTGTACGACTCTCTTATTTACGTTCGCCATTACCCATAAAAGAAAATTAATATAATAATACAGGACAATTCTACATCTGCAAACCTCGCATGGTTATCAGATCAACACTACGACGCCACCAGAGAATGAAATAGTGGAAAATTCCTAGCTGGGTGACTCCAATGTAGAATGTACGGGAAGGAAGATCCCCAGTAAATCCGAATACGTGGTGTAAGAGACGGTGTATAACCGGGAAGCACTTTAGCATTAATATCAACTTCTGGTTAGAGCAAATCAATCTTGTAACGAGTATAGATAATTAAATATACTTTCTTACAATCTTTTTTACAAAGACTAAAAATGCGGTGTTTCATAAATTAGCCACCTTTACTGTTAACTATATATTTTTTGGTCATAAACCTAGTGATATCTCATAAGGTATAGTCAGCTCAAGAGATTTAGATTAGTCGTAAATCTACATACTAAGCTAAAATCAGAAAACAGTCTCCGTAATAAATGATATTACTAAAACTAGACATATTAAACAAACATTCTAACCAATACTGTTAATGAAAGAAACATTAAATAAATGATAGCATATACTTCACTTATGGCACACACAAACACTAGCCGTTAGCTTTAAGTATATTGTATAAATGTTCGTACAGTGAATGTCGTCTGGAAAAACTATTTCAATAAATAAAATGAATCCAATGCAACTTTCTTTTTGCTTTGTATATTTGCAGTGAATGTCTTTACAATTCAGTATGCTTAACAGGACTATACTAGTTATGTTTTTATAATTTTAATGATTGTAATGTTTTCTCACCTCTCAAAGTTTTTAACATGTCAAACATGCAGTTTTGCCCATAAAATAATGCTTGAAATAAAACTCAAATAGGAGAGTAAAATAGTGTCTACTGATTGGACTGTGACTAAGGGCCCAACAGGTGTAGGAGACTTAACTGAATTTGACTGAAATTTGAAAAGTCCATGATCAGAATGAATAACACATTTTGAGATCCACAACATAAGCCTTTTCTTTGCTCAGTGACAACGTCTTTGCTACATAGATACTACTACTAGTAGTAACTACTGTGTTATCACTAATATCAGAGGCGTCGGAAAATAACACCCGCATTTTGACTATTTTACTAGTATAGCAACTGTAAATTATATTATTATATTAATTTTCTGGGAGGCGTGTCTCAATACTTCCCCTAGATTGAGCTGCTTTTAGTAGCTCCTTATTCTTTCAATCTCCTTCCCACACTACTGAATATAATAATCATTACTCTTGTAATTAAGATAGTAATTATTATGGCTGAAAATATCGTTAACAGCGAGGGTACCCAACTGATCAAACAATGTATTCTAAATATAATCATTATAAGAAATATAATTAGAACATTATATTTAATTAGCTATGCTTATTTAGATACGTACTGTATTCATAGTTCCGAGTTTATGTAAGTAGCTTACTTTGATAAGTTAATATTATTATTATTAATCAGCTTAACTTAACAATTCATATTATATTATTTTTATTAATTTTGGATTGACCCAACCTGAGCAAACTGAAAAGTATAAAAATCAATTACGATTTACTCCCAGACCGAGGCCGAAGACATTAAATTTAAAGTTCTGGACCTTGTCGTTTATCATATAAAATGTATTCAGCCTACAGCGCATAACAAATAACATTAAATACCATAAACGGACAATAACACTGTTTATATTAACACTGTTGATAACAATTGACAGTCACGGTAAGTGTATGATGTTACTATTTACACTTTTTCTCCACAAAATTAATATCATTACGGACTTTCTTTTTCTACAAAAGTTACACGTAACACTTCCACGTATAGGTTAAAAGTAGATGACACAAATGATAATTTAAGTAATTATAACATCACTTACCCGCCGGCAATAAGATGAATTAACGTATCGTAACTTAACATAACGTGATCAAATAGTACTAATAACATTAATACCACAATACCAGTAGTAGTAGTAACATCGACTTGTTTATGTCCCTTGTCATTGGTGCAGACCTCAACCATAAAGTGTATGTGTGTACGAAGGGGAGCATTTAGTAAATTATTAATGACGTCATTAATAAATAAAAAAGTTCACATGACATAATGTTTCATATCATTCGGTAACCTTGTTATCTTATCGTTTGCAAAAATACAATCATATAATTATTGTCATAGTAATAATAACGTTTCAAGATATTGATATTTGAAATGAAATACCGTTACTCACTTTAATATTTTCCACATATGTTTCTTCCTAAGATGTGTTCAGGATAGAACTCTTTTTTTCAAAACACTTAAAACAAAACAGTAAGAATTATGCTGTTAATTAGAACAGCACCTCTTCCCTCATTAGAAATAATAAAACGAGTCCCCTGCATTTGTCTACTCCAAATGTCTTTGATATATTTAACTTACTTTTGGGCTAGTTGGGATAAAATTTTGATTTATTTTCTTTAAACCTGAACAAGGGTCTTTTTCTCATTGGTATTTAAACAAATAAGTAAAATCGGTGTTTTAGCAATTGTTTAAGTAATAACTTTTAACGGTTTCTTTTAAATACATATTCGTACGTATTTATTGGAGTCCATTCCGTCATTTTTATCTAACATTATGGGATTAAAGTAGTGAAATATTTCGGAACGTCTACATCCTTTGTACATTACGTCGAAGGGGTGCGTCAAAGTGCACTTACTATGTCCACTAAAGCTTTGAGACACCCTAAATGATGAACGTCGGCCAGGATAGTGCACTACACTTCACGTAGGGTGCAATTTGGAACGCAGTCTTGGAAACCGTCATGGAATTAAAATGTCTTTAAAATAGGGAAGAGACATATATATATATATATACCCCCACATTTCCACCTTCTTTAATAGACTTTTGACTTTGAACTTAAAGACACAAGTACTTAATCAGTTAAATGAGTTAATTATTATCTTCCACAAAGAAGAGTATGCAATTAGCATTTAATGAGGTCATTAGGGATTTAATAACAAAAGGAAGGAGAAAATTGTCCTTTATACAGTTTTGGCTTCCTTAATGGGTACCTCAGCTAGTTATCATAACACGCTGAAATTAGAGCCTTGTGTGATATCGATCACACCAATTGCACGTGATCAGTAAAAAAAAATTAAGAAAGGTGCTTAATTCAGAACGGCATGTATCAACTCAATGCATTTGTCCTTGTACTTTCACGTGATACGAGCGTGACTGGTACGTGTTTTATGAGGAATGTTCACATATCCTGTCATCACAGTTTTTTCAAAAATTGAAATAAACTGATTTCAGTTGTAAAGAAATGCCAGTTTCAGAAATTCCAGATATGTATCATAAATGACTTGCAAATTAAAATCTAATTATGTTTACAACTGGACACAGTTTTTACTTAATGTTAATTTTAATGTGTTTGTGTGCAGTATATATAGTTATAGTAGTGCAAAGCTACAAAATAGGCTATTGCGCTCTGTCCAGCGTGGGGGAATCAACCCCTGAATTTTAGCGTTGTAAGTCTGTAAGCTTACTACGATGACCCACTTGGGGACGTCTAAAAATTAAACAAGCATTTTAATCTTGAATATCGAAATACATACTAAAAAGTTAAGAGTGAAAGTAATGAATGTAGTACAGCATGTCAAACATGTTATGTCTGCCCTATTTAGTGCCCACAAGGCATTTCGCCCAAATACTAGGGATCATCAGGCTAAATGGGACATGTACAATGTTTTAATAGTTATATGAGGAGGTTATGTTAGATTACTTTATGAAAATTCGCGAACATACGTTTGTGTTTAAGCATAATACACACTATTGAAATACTGGTTAAAACTTAAAAAAAAATAGTGCGTATAATTTCAAAGTTAAGGCTATCCATTGCGCTTTATTTCGGATTTGGTGAGATTTCCCGGTAAATACTGACCCCAATTAATAGTCATCACGTGATGATATCCGTAACGAGTCAAAGGTTCATTATCTATATACTCTATCACTTATATATAAAAAAAAATTCCAAAAAGGGAACCGAAAACCGCCTGGAGGGGTAACGTGTTTTAAGCGTCACATAAAGGACGCTTAACGTTGCAACTTATACTGTCGTGACGTTACTAAAACGTGCGCATGCCATGAATCACGAGAAGAATTATGCTCTCTGTAGGCTGCAACACAGCATGACATATCAACTTTAAAAGCAAGAAATAAAGATATTTGTTATTCATAATGTTGGTTTTATTTACTCTTGAAAAAGAACACTTTCGGGGACTCTTCGAAAATGCATGTATTATAGTTATTAATATACATTACTCCCTCAGGAAGTACATGTATTATAGTTATTAATATACATTACTCCCTCAGGAAGTACATGTATTATAGTTATTAATATACATTACTCCCTCAGGAAGTACATGTAGTATAGCTATTATAAGATATTTCTCTTGAAACAGAACACTTTCACGGACCCTGAGGAAATACATCTAGTATAGTTATTAACAGATTTAAAAAAATGCTCCCTAAGTTTCGGGGTATGAATTAACAAAGTGAATTCTCGCCTGTCCCAGTTATAATGTTTATGCGATATATACAGATGAAACTATTACATCAGATGGGTCCGATAGATAACAGGAGATACATTCAAGATATCGATTACGGAGTAATACAAATTCTGTTAAACACAAACACAGTATATTCTTTCTGTTACTTACACGGGACGGTTGCCTTTATTGGATAACAGCCTAGTAGTCCCAGTTGTTAAAAACTACCTTAGCTCAGTTGGTAGAGCACTCGCCTGGTGTTATCTATTTCTGATAATAACGAAGGACTAAAAATGACTTAGAACGAAATAACCTTAACTGTTTTTTCGACCGTGTGTTATGTGAAACCTATATAATATTACAAACAGATAGAAATGCATGATGTATTCAAATACCATTCAACTCTCAATCTGAGGGTCGCGGGTTCGAATCTCCGTCACACCGAACATGCTCGCCTTTTCAGTCGTAAGGGCGTTATAATGTGATGGTCAATCCTACTATTCGTTGGTAAAAGTAGTCCAAGAGTTGGCGGTGAGTAGCGT